TTGGTCTTGTAGAATGAAAGTCGGATTAAATGAATGGAATATACCTTTTCGCACTCCAATTTCACATTTGGGTCAACATTTAAGCCAATGCTCTTCCTGTAGGCAGCAATTAATTGCTTTGTGCGCTCATCTTTAGCAGCTCGTGCTTCTGCTGTTTCAAGCTCATCTCCAGGGCGAATAGTTTTTCCACCACCAAACTAACACCCAAGAAAGAAATATCAGAAAAAGGCTGCTAGTAAGATTAGTCCTTTTCCAGAAAAATTGAGAACCAATAAACTTCCATCAATTATTTCTTCATCAATGACTTATGAAAGAAAAATATTTTTTGTCCACTTAAGTGATTCAAGTTCTGCCTAATCTCATTTGAGGACAGGTTTACGCTTCCTCCTAATTAATTATTGCATTTTATCAGTTTCTTGGCAGCTGCAATATAGCGGCTTCAAACCATTTTTTCCACTGCCATCTACTTTCTCCGCCTCAAACATCCAATTTATCTTGAATTTTGTATTTCTCATGAAGTTACTTTCAAAAAGCAGTAACACAACAAAAGTTAAGAGTTGGAGATTATAATGTACTTCAGAATTTTTCACAAAAATAATAATTAGCATACCGTCTTTGAAATGTTTCCAGGTCTAGGAAAGACACCCCATGTAGAAACCTTTGGCTTGTAAAGATCTGGATTATCATCTAGGGTAGGCTTGGACGTCAATGTAGAGGGATCCTCAAATTTGCTAGTGTCCCCGACAATTATTTCTACATCAGGCAAGTTCCCTTCTGAAAAAGGGTCTGTGATTGGAACCAATCCAGCAGGTAGTCCCCTGCCCTTTTTCTTATCCGAAAATTCAAGCCCCACAAAATCAATGCTTGAGATCGACAGTTTTTGTTCTTTCTTCGATGTTTTATCCACCACTCCACTTCCTAAATTCCCTCCCTTTAATCCTAAAACAATCATATGCACATTTTCAGCAGACATTCCACTTCCATATACTTATTTCTAATTAGAACAAAAGATCCTGATGACATTTTCCCTTATATTATAGAAAGATTTGAAAAATTAAACATATTACCAAGTTTTGAATCATTTATATCAATAAACCTTCAAATCAATAGAATGTAGATTCTCCTTTTCTCCGTTACTAAAACTAGGTTGAATAAGTTGAAAGATGAAAGCGAAAATCTAAAAATTAAGAACCTGAAATTGGTTTCCATTTATAAGCTTCAGCCTCTTACACTCTTTCATGCTTTAGCATTTGGTTACCTTCCGCCTCTTTCACTCTTTCATTCTTTAGCATTTGGTTACTTCTCCGGACAAAAGCGATGGAGATAGTTGGGACATAATGGACATGTCCCCTTGTCCTTCCTGTTTTGAAAGTCCAGAAATTCACTTCAAAATTATCCTAGATACGGATTTATTTTTATGTTTTCGTCACCATCTTTACAACTAAACATGTTGATATCCCTTCTATATACATCGCTTATGTGTCTTGAGACACTAACCAATCGCAACCTTAGAAGAACAACTAGATATGGCAACATCATCTTGCTATTAACCACAACAAAATCTTCTAATACAGAGCTGATAACAAAACGGCATTATATTATAACAACATATAAAGTTGAACAAAGCAACTAGGCAAATTGGCTATGTATGGCTCATCAAGGATCCACCGTGTCCTGTCTGTTAACACACTGTGGCTAATTACCAACTAGACACTGTTAATGGAGGCAACATAATAAGTAATCAATAATCATCAATTATCCAAAATGAACTGAAATTAGCAAAATCTGCCAATTGAAAATTTGAAATAAATACCATACGTAAATTTGTTTTACTATCTGCAATACCTTCCACAACACCACCGCTACCAACAACTCCTCTATCTGTCTTGTACTCCACAGCACCCTTAACAGGATCTGACACTTGCTTATTTTTCTCAACAATCCCAATTCTAGAACCACCAGAATCCTCAACTGGGTTCTGCTCAATCTTCACATTCTTGCTGGTTTCAATGGAGTTTCTATATGCTTTAGCCTTCTCAAAAGCAAGCTTTACAGGGTCCACAGGACCTGGTTCGGGATCTGGTGGGTTCTGTGAGGAGGGGTCTGGAGATTCAGCATTAGACGAGTTGAGAGAGAGTGAAACTTTGAACGGAGAAGCTTTGGAGGAGAAAAGGGTAGTGGGGCTTTTGGTGAGAGAAGATAGCCATGAATGTTGAACGTGAAGAGAAGCCATGAACTGGCTCGCGGAGGGGCTTTTGATAGCCATGAATGTTGAACGTGAAGAGAAGCCATGAACTGGCTCGTGGAGGGACTTTTTGTTTCAGGCTTTTAGAACAAAAAGGGCGTTTTGCTTGTGAGGTGAGGAAGATAAGTGGCCATTGCCTTTTCTTTAGGTTCTGGTTTTTTTTTTTTTTTGAATTACTGTTAGATAATGGTAGTTATTTTTGGAGGTCGAGTTTTCAAGCTCACCTCTCTAGCTATTTCCTTTCCTTTCAGTTGTTTTCTTCCCTTTTGGACTTTTTTTTTCCTCAGGAAAAGTAAGATTTAATTTTTCATTCCTAAATAAATTACTAATTACCTTAGTATTAAAACTCAATCCAGCAGGTTAACAATAACTCAAAAGCCAAATCGAGTCCAAGTTAAGTTTCTTATCCAATCAATTTTTTTATGAACAATATCATTTTATTATTAAAAAAAATCTAAATTGATATCATTTTAATAAATTAAAAAAAGAGTTAATCCACCTATCAAAGAGTTCAACCAACCAACCCATGATCAGGCCTTGGTCATGTTAAACCTCAACTGAGTTTTATAACTATGAATTTGTAATTTAAGAGTTCTAAAGTAATATTTTTTGCTGTGTTTTTAGTTTTTACACGATGGCTTTTATATTTTATTCTCTTTTGCCCTCATTTTATTGGTGAATTGTTCTTGCGTGGGAGCCATGGAATCAAAATTGTGGATTTTTATTTTTTTCATTTTCCTTCAAGAATTGATGATTGTTGAATTGATATTCATGGGAAGCCACAGCTCATCATAGCATTCAGTCATTTATCCTGCAACGAAATTCAACAGCTAAAGTAAATCACAAACAGATTTGTGAATGAAGTCCCAAAGGATGTCAAAGCTCCAACCTTCAGGATTTCGGAGAGAACCTTTCTCAAATCAGTTCTTTTGCACACGCCTCTCTGAGCAAAGGGATCCCCTACTCTTCTTCATATCCAGCAATTAGTAACACTAATGCCTGGCAACTAGCTGCTCCCTTTGCCATATGCAGTTAAGAGAATGTCGTAAGGGATCTGGAAATGGGTATTTGGTTCTCGGTTGCTTTTGGTTTGTGTTGCAAGACACAATAGAGATATAGAATAAATCCATGTATGAGAGATTTTTCGAGTGGAAATCCTCTGAGTCACTCTCAGTCGCCATTGTCTCTCTTCTATCCCCCTAACGGTAACCAAACTTTACCCTAGTTATTTACAAAGATGCTTTACAGGAGTAGAAAATATCTTCAGATTTTGGTGCAACATATTGCACTGAAATTCAAATTCACTACTTCCAAAATGGTGAAGTGAAACAAATATGGTTCATGCGAGGAATTAGAATTCAAGATGATCAAAACATGGCGGACTAGTCTTGAATCATACCTAATGATACAGAAATCAAGGTGCGATCTACAACTGATAACATTTGTTTCTTCTTTGTATCAGCTGCTGTCCAAACCTACAAGAAGCTGTGGCACCAAACGACTGAGTTGTCAAGCTCAATACCACCTAAGACATTGCAGTATGCCTCAAGCAAATCACTCGTCATCTGAAGACACGGAGTGAGTGGTTGGTGCACGTGAAGCCCCCATCAAGCATTAGATTGTCCCCACTTATGTACCTTGCTTCATCACTTGCTAGGAAGAGCACGGCATTGGCCACATCATCAACTGTCAATTCCACACCTTGCAAGTTAGCATTCCTCCCAACAAAAGAGCGGAAACCTATCAAGGCATCCTCAGTCCTCTCATCCTCTGGCAAATGAGCCACGGCCAAGCTTGTCGCAACTCCATAAGGAGAGACACAGTTTACACGTATCCCATGTTTTCCTAGTTCAGCTGCAACACTTCTGGTCAGACCCAATACAGCATGCTTTGACCCTGTGTAAGCATGTGGGCCCAGACCCCCTATGGCACTGGCAACGCTACAGAGAGAAACAATTGAACCCTTATTTAGGGGGATCATAATCCGTGCTGCATGCTTCATTCCAAGAAATACACCCTTCACATTTACATCAAACACCTTTTCAAAGTCTGATAAGGCCACCTCACGGATATCTGGACAGGGGGGGCCTCCCAGCCCAGCATTGTTAACCATAATATCCAATGTTCCAAATTTATCAACAGCAAAGTCAACAGCTTGGCGAACATCATCCTCTATTGTGACATCACAATGGATATAACAAGTTTTTGGCTCACCACCAAGCGACTCGCAAACATTTCGTCCAAGGTTGTCTTGCAAATCAGCTATGCAAACTTTTGCACCATGTCTGCAAAATAGCCGGGCAATGCTCTCCCCAATACCGGTAGCTCCACCTGTTACCAATGCTACTTTGCCCAATAACCTACAAGAAAAGATATGAACCTACAAAATCAAGATAAATCTAAATTCTAGTGCAAGATGCTAGGTCTGATATGGATTCCAAATAAATAGATTAATCCCGATACTAGAATGACATCAAACATACCAAAAGAGAGATCCCAATTCAATTAGGGTGCCAAAAGACCTCTTAAGACATAGTTACAAAATGTTAAGAACTGTGCAGCAAGATACAATCCACTAGTAGATGAATTGGATGGTCTGGCTCTTTTGATGTCAACAAAGAGCAGCAAGCTTTTATGGATTATCCTTCCGTCTTCTTGGAAAGTTTCAATTATGTAAAAATATTTCAGTTGGCATATAAGTTCCAGCATACCAGACAAGTAATTAAAACATGAAAGTAAAAACTATATCAAATACCACATATGGAAGGCTTCATTTATCAGCAGCTCTCCTTTCAAAAAGAAAATACAGCATGTAGACACTCTGAAATGATTCAAAATGAGACTCATACAATTGAGATTTCCAAAGCATCGTCATACCAACTTAAATTTCAATCGGATTATTTCTAGCCACACAGATTAGAGTGAGCAACAAGGCATGAAAGAAGGTTAATCTTACACAGTTAACACATAGACCTGCCGCTATTTCAAATTCAAAATGAAGATACCAAGTCACTCATATAAATTTGAAACACGCACCCAATACTATATAGTCCATGGTAATTATTTAAATTCGAACTTTAAAACACAAACTACAGAAATTTGATTTGCATTTAAAGTAGGCACAAATTCAAAATCTCTAAGGACAATAACCCACAGAGATGGACGATATGTAGTTCGTGTGTAAGAGGATGAGCATCACAGACAGAAGAGAATAAAAAAGCACAAGCAAGCCATTGCAAAAGCCTCTTCCGCAAGGTGATTTCGGATAATGAAGTAAGATATGATATGTTACAGTCAATTTCTTTCTCACAAACGCACGCTTATATTACACCAATTTGCATCAGATCATAGCAGACAACAAAAAGCAGATTTAAAGCATTGCTAGAAATCTGGAAACATTCAATAAATCCATGGTTCTCTAACTTACATGAAACTAAAAACTTCTGAGAAATGATTATGCTCTTTTACTCAATAAAACTAAGAAATCAAACCACACTTCAAGCCACCGCTGAAATCCAAAAGGGAAGTCCATATAAAGATACAACTCTTCAACAAAAAATTTAAAAATAATAATAAATTATAAAAAAAAAATGAGTTGATCAACTATGAAATTGACTACGAGGGTTAAAAGCAAGCTAGCAAAAGTTCATTAGAAGGCTAATTAGTCCAATTGATTGTATTAAACTTAAATTAGCTATCACCATTGGATCCCCTAGGATTGATGTCAAACCATGAACATATACAAAATTCATCAAAAAATTCTCTTCACAAAAAGCGAGAATTTTCTTAAAGGAAAGCAAGTTACAGTGGGAAAGAAAAGAAAACCAATTAACACCAAGGTCAAAAGGGAGATGACCAAAAGCTCCTTTCACCTTTGAAGAGAGAAGGGCGAGTCAGTGGAGCTTGCGGTGGCCATTACTGGAGGGTGTTGTACGGTGCTGGCCAATGATGGTTGAAGACAGAATTTATAGATGTGTTAGTGAAAGTTTCGATGGAGACAGCCACTCGTGTTTGTCTAGGTGGCTCTGTTTTATAAGCATAGTGAATTTACATAAAAATACATTTAGCTTTTACATATTGTTCAAGAATGCCGAGATTTTATTTCTTGATGTGTTTTAATAGCATGTTTTATTTTTTAAAAATAACTAAAAAGATTTTTTTTATGATTTCAATATGGTAATATTAAAAATAAATTAATATATTTTTAAATAAAAATTATTTTTAAAATATATTTAATCATAATTTCAAATACACATTAAATATTAATATAAATACGATAAAAAATCTATCAAAATAATATAAATAAATAACCATTTGAAGCCAAATTTTTACTTGAATTTTATAAAATATAAAGTCAAACAAATATTTTTTAATAAATTGTAGCATGCCATTGTCATTGTAATAAAAATAATTTATCTAAAATTATGGACAGATCTAGCATGGGGTAATGGAAACACATGCCCACATCACTCAAAAAAATAAAATAAATAAATTATATAGATGACCCGTACTACACTGCCAGCCAACCAATAAAATGGCTTCAATTTCTCCGACGCATATTTCGTAACCATTTAATTTTTTTTTTAAAAAAAAAAAAGGCATCGGAGGCGTTTTCTCTCTCTTGCTGGGTTGTGGGGTCACCTTTTTTGTTGTTTTCGATTATTATTTATTTGGGTTGTTGGATCACTTGTTTTGGGCTTGGGAACGTATTGCTCTGATGGGCTTATTATGTGTTTGGCTGGGCTTAGAAGAGAGTGTTTTTTTTTTTTTTGCAACTTCAGTTCGGTGCTTTGCCATTCAAGGACCGTTTCCAATTCAAGGAGTTCTTCTCCGACAGCCCTCTACCAGTTTTCACTGGTCGGTCATTTGAGAAAGACATGGAAGAGGCGATAAAGCAAATTCTGGATTCTCCTGTGAATGCCAGTTAGTGGATGTGCCCTATTACCATCGAAGAGGCGAGACTGTTCCTTCTCCTTGGTTCTACCAAGATGAGGGAGACGCTGGATATGTTGTTAGTGTTTATATGCGTTTGCCAGGATATCCTGCAAACAAGATCTCCATTGTTGACAACTAACAATGGCCAAAAACTTCGTGATGTTATCAACAGAAGATGTGTTCCTTAATCCTTATGACTTCATTGGCCCACCCAGCAAGGTAAAATGCTCGAATGAGTAGTGAAAAATAACTATTGCATAGAAAAGGAGTACTGGGTTGAAGTTGTTTTTCATTTGTTTTTGTAATATTGCTCAGAAAGAATAATGGGCAAGTGTTATTTTCATCTGTTTGCTTGACCAAGTAAAAGCTATCCCTGTGACTTCCTTGGTGCATGCTGAAAGACCAATTCAATCAATGGGACAGCTTGTGTTGCATCAATGGCAAATCGGTTTCTCTTTTTCACAGTTGTTTCAATTCAGGTTGCAGGCTTTCACATATATTCAATATCATTATAAACTCATCAATGTTCTTCTACAGCTCACAACTGTTGACAAGTTACAAGGACAGCAAAATGGTTTTATTTTACAGCTCACAGCTGTTGACTTGGGCTATACGAGTTTTGCCGCAGATCTCTGTTTGAACAATGATATGAACTGCAGCCTACATGTAAACTTCTGCTTCAGGGACCCGGTCACCTTGCGCTGAATTCTGGTGAAGTTTCGACATATACAGAGCGGCAAGTTGAAGACGCTGGACATCCTTATTTTGTTACAGTGTTGAGGAGGTGGGACACATTGTAATGGATAAAATGAATCGACTGTATCAGGTATAGCTCTTCGGCTTATATACCTTTCTTGTCTTGGTTTATGGCTGAATCTTCGATTCATTATAGGTCGAGGAACAGTCTAAAGAAGTTTGCTGACATAAAACCCAACTTAAACTATGGTCACATGCACGAAGAAACTAGCATCTGCCAATAGCATGGTACATTTTGAAGGGAAACAAGCCTTAGTTTAGGTGAAAGCTGCTCCCTCTGAATATTGCAGCGGGACAAATAAAGCATTTGAGGTTGATGAAGGTTATATGTATCACTGTGAGTCAACTCTCACCTAATAAATTGTAGTTAGTGAAGGATCAAACTTTTGATAACACCTTTGGCTGTCTTTCCTCATATCCATCAATATCTTCTCCTAAGAAAATCTTATGCATTTTTTTTCTCTTGCCTGTTATTATTAAAATGGTATCTGGCTTGTGCTTGGGTGATGGTGTGTGCATTCAAGGTGCACCATGTATAGCTCTAAGCAGCGAAAGGCTTTTGATTTTGGTAAGGTATGGTTACCAAGTTGATTTTGGTAGATGAACCTTTCCTTGCAAAAATAGAACTATCAGATTTTCAGCTCCTGGATTTTCAATTTCATAGCAGAGCTGCTAGTCTCTCTAAAATCAAATTAGACTCGGGAAATGAGGGATACAAAAATGAGCAACTCTACCATGCAATGACAGGTTGGTTTAGATCAAAGGTCAAACCATGAATGATAATTCTTAGGTGGTTGAGGGAGCATGTCCCTGTATCTTATTTATTTTTACGTCTGCGTCTCTACCAAACACTATCTTTTTTTTATTATTCTAAAATATTAACAAAACGCAAACACAAACGCAACCTTAGGAATTATAAGGATTGTAGCATTGTTGCCCATAAATTAAATCCCCAAAAATGCAGGGGAAAAAAGGACTAAACAAAATATATTTAAAGTATGTGCCAATGCCTTAACTAAAATGAATGGAAAAAAAAAAACGCTAATGCTCCCATTCATTTTGTGCTTCAGTCTGATCCACTGGTCAAGGGGCAAGAGAGAGCATCGATGGCAACATGATTTTAACAGCAGGTGGAAATATGAATCAGCTTATGCATATTTGATGCCAAAATTGCCAAAACACAGAAGAAATAGAGAACAGGTTTGAGATTAATTCCTGGGGTCATGTCAGTCTCCAATAAACTTCCGTTTCTTAGTGGTGTTCATGTAGGGTCTAAGCACCCATTCATTTTGTGCTTCAGTCTGATCCACTGTTCCTAACTTTATCTGTTGAAACAACGTAGAAAACATAAACATCAATTATCCGAGAATTACACCATCGATTAATAACTACAGCAGATGCATTTACAGAGGCTATATGAAGTATGTTTTGCCAATTACTGATATCAATTACATTATGGAAGCCTTTTCTAACTTGGTGGCAAGGAGATTTATGTGCAGGAAAAAGTGATCTAATTGGCATTAGAGATACCTGATAAAGCCGCATTTCAAATCGTGGACCAATCTCTTTGAGCTCAACAGACTTGGGGCCTCCATGCTTTTCATATATATGATGTCTACACATTACAAATAATCAGCCAAGCATATTCCATATGAACAAAAAGTGATCAGTTTTGTACAGAAAGGATGGTGAATTCCACTAATAAACAGCTTGTGAATAGAAAAGGCAACAGCCAACAGGAAGAATATGTTCAAACTTGAAATTATGATACAAGCATGATAGGAAAATAATATTGTATGAAACAAGAGAAACCAGAAACCAGGCTGACCACATTTGGACCTAACAAAGTAACTCATATACATTTCGATTTTGATTTATTTTTTTTTCTATCAGGATATTCAATGTTGTTGTCTAGGGATTTCAAGAATGTTTTTGTAAGATTTCGATCTTTAAATCTGCGCTCTGTTGATCAACTTACGACATTTTCTGATAAATTTGAAAACTTTTAAAATTCAACCATTGATATCCCCAAAGTAATGTCAAGAGCTTGTAAGGCAGAAGGCAAATTGCATATAGCTGCTGCCTCTTGTCATTTGCTATGACTAAAGCATCATCTCCAAATAATAATAATAATAAAGACAAGCCTTTCATGACAAGTTGACAACACTTAAATTTCCTTGTCTTTGTGATGTTTCTGCTTCGTCATATTATCTATAAATTTTCTCATAGAAAACCTCTAAATTAGCAGGGCTGCAAAACAAACAATCCACGCTATTCAAGGCGGGCTACTCAGAACTCTTTCACAAACATAAATGAACTGAACTTAACAAGGGTATCCCAAGCAAATCCACGTGAAGATGGATATCCCATGCAATTACAATGGTTTGTTATTAATACAGCACTATATTATGGCATAAAATAAGAAATTAAGCTAATTTGGCTCAAAAAAGAGATCTTTTACGGACCGAAACAGGGAACCAACCTGAAGGAGATATAGTCAGATTGATTTGCAAATGTGATTATGCGTTTAGTATCTGGCTTTGGCATAGGGAAAAGATGTTTTAGAATATTTGCTGTCCTTTCTCCCAGCTGTCAACATCAACAAAAGAAATTCCACAACGGAATAAACCATCAACAAGTAAAACTATCAAAGCAATAAAGCACACATACAATGTTTACAAGCATAGCATATAGGTGCAGAGAGTGCTACAACATCCAAAGAAACTGTCCTCAGAGGGATTATTCCAACGATAAAATCCCTGATACTTTACAATTAATGCAGTCATTTGCAAAGATTGAATATAGCAACCATGATCAGTAGCAATACTAAAATTTCATTTCAGCTAAATATTTCTGCAATCTTCTATATAGTCTCTCTCCTTATCCCTTCACAATTTATTAGATTTGCAATTTCATCAAAGAAAAATGAAAGTGCCAAAGTTCCAGGCATAACCTGAGCATGCACATATAAGCACAATTTCCACCTTCTTTCAAAAGCAACAAACTAACTCAAGATGTTTACTTGTCCATCAAATCTTCAAACGACCACAGGATGTACATGGAGAAGTCAAATTCTACAATCGAGATATAAACATTCAGTGAACGGAAAATTATTACCTTGGATTTAAAATTGTTAAGAATCAAGTGTGGGTAGGCCTCAGGCATAGTTCCAATAGCTTTCTTGTCTTTAATGTCATGTCTGGTAACCTACAATACAAACACTTAATCAGCATACAAAATTCCCCGAGACATAATCCCAACAAAAGGTCAAAAACACAAGAATAACCAAACTAACTTACCACATTGAGTAATTCAAAACACAAGAATAACCAAACTAACTTACCACATTGAGTAATTCAAAGTAAGCCGTTGGACCAAATGGTAGATGGCATATAACCAAACCATCTGGCACTCCTCGATGCTCATGCACCAAAATTACATCAGTATAATCATGTGCCCGGCAACTTTCAATAATCTCAGATATAACCTGAAAATGAACAATTTTTTTAAAGTGCACCTCAGAAAACAAAAGTCCAAATCTCACCAACATGTAAAACTGAACAATTTTCCCATAAAGCATATAATACAGACTTATACCCTTTACCAATACTCAACTTCCTATTTATACCCATGCAACAAGTTCTAGTAACCACACACTTCTTCACCACCTCTACATTTGACATTAAATTAGAATATACAACCATCAAAACCACCTTTTTAACCCTAAGTCAGTCTCTCATTAACCTCCTGGCTTTATTTATTATCAATTTACTAACCTGACTGCCACAATTGATTCGCTCTGCATTAAGAACCACAAGCTTCAATTCCAGCACAAGTGTATATGAACCAATTTCCCATGCGGCATAGAATACCTTGACCTATACAAAACTCAACTTCCTATTTACACTCATGCAACAAGTTCTATTAACACAATTTCTTCACCACCTCTACAATTAACATTATATCAGAAGATACTACCATCAAAACCACCTTTTTAACCCTAATTCAGCCTCTTGTCAGCCTCTTGGCTTTAATCATCAATTTACTAACCTGACCACCACGATTGATTCTTTCTGCATTAGGAAACACAAACTTCAATTCCTGAACAAACATGTAAGGACCAGTCGAATCAAATTCATAATCAAGCAAATTCACACATATAGCACAATCAAAACCTCACAACAACAACATAACATTTCATTGTTTATTTTTTTTCTTCTTCTAATACCTTAACAAACTGAGTAAGAGGAGCACTCGGATCCCTCGACGTAGTCAATAAAATTTTCGGATCTCTTTCAGTTGCTTTGGCATATTCATCATCAATATGACTCCTCGGTACTAAAATTAAACAAATTAAATTTAATTAAATCAAAAACATATATAAAAAAACAAATATATACATATATATAAGAAGCATACTTGCAGTGTTTTCATCCTCAAGATCAATTTCTTGACGAAGAGCGGCTTCTTCGTTTCTAAGCTCAGTAGGAATCGGTTTTCCCTCTGTAAAATTTAATTCATTAATACAAAAAATCAAAGCATTTTTTTAGAGAGAGAGAGAAAGAGAAAGAGCTGATTTTTATACCAGCAAGGGCTTCTTTGATTTTGCGTTTCTTCTCGTAAAGTAAACGTTCTTTGCCTTCTAAGCTTTTTCTATACAAATACTCTCTTCTCAACCGGATGTTTCGACGGAGCATTTTTAGAAAGATAGATGTTGTCTTTCTAGAGAGAGAAAGTGCAGGTTGTGCTATTTTGTAGGGTTCTGTTAGGGTTTTCTCGGAGAAGTGACTACTGAAGGAGAAAGATGGCGCTTGGTCTAAACGACGATGTTTCTTGATTATTGATATCTTCATAAAACAGCATGTCGTTTGTTGGCATTTTTTTTGTTTTTTCATAATTATCTCAACGACGCTGTTTCTTACTCAACGACATGTCTTTTGTTGGCCCTTTTTTATTTTTTATTTATTTTTTTCATAATGTTTTTTACTATTTTTATTGAGTTGACTGTTAAAATTATTATTATTATTATTAAATTTCTATTGGTTTAGTGGATTAATACGATGATTTATTAATTTTTTAATAATTTATTTTATTATTGTTTATTTAATTAACTATTAAGATTATTATTATTAACTTTGGCTCGTCTTAATTAGTTTTTTTTATTTTTTTTATTTTTTTACAACATATTTTACTAATATATAGTAAATTAATCCAATGATTTATTGATGCAACTCTTGAATGGGGTTAAATTTCAAATAAAATAAATAAGAAATGAACCTAGTATATTAATTTGATATGAAATCCATCCTAGTTAATAAGATAATCTAAATATATCAAGGGAAAAAAAAACAAGTGAATGAAATAATGTGTATAGAATCATTAAAAAAAAAAAATCACATGCACGACATTATGCTCACACTAAGTAAATTCTCTCAGAAGTAACTAGATTGATCTTGCAATAGCTCAAGCTGTGCCAAGACTCTTGCAATTGTTGATTTCAATGTTGGATCGCCATTCTGCGCAAGATCGATGAGGACCACCTGGGCAGATTCTCCATATTGTGATCTATGTTCTTCAATTCTAAAAATTCTCTCCAGCATCCACAGTGCCTTTTCTTGAGCTTTTACATTTCCTGATTCCAACACTCTTATTATGGCTTGAACACCAGATGTTTTGGCTATGAAGAGGCTTCCACTCTCCCGAATTTCATCTTGCAAGAGCGTTGCGAGGGCGTTGAGGGCAGCTTCATGAGCTTCCCTCTCTTTACCTTCCAATATTTGGATCAGTGGAGGGACAGCGCCGGCCTTGACCAAACAAAATGTGCTTTTAATGATGCAATAGCCATCATGGACTTCGCAGAAAGCGTCTGCAGAAGGAGGCATACATGTCCACCGCCATTTTCTGGACTTCTGAAGGGCTAGGGAGTTCTGCGATAGTTGTGCGAGTGAGGTTGCTGCTCTACACTTGGCTACTGATGATTCACTTGACAACAACTTCACAAGGATAGGAATAACCCCTAGTTCTGCTGAAAAAAGCTGCAATTTCTTATCAGAAGGAACGGTAAAGCGAATAAGTATGCCTGAGATGCTCTCTTCTAACCATGTTGTTGATGATGATGCACCTGAACGCATTAGTGAGATCAGAATGGGCAGAAAATGTAATTTTTTCAGTGCTTCTGTTGATTTCTTGTTGCCAACAGGAAGATTGCTCAAAATGCCGATTGCGGCAGCCTTTTCACTTTCAGATTCTGGTGATGAGATGATACTGACAATTTTACCGAGATAGGATTCTCCAAGCTGTTCCATGAACTCTTCTGTTGAATCTTTAGAAAGGGTGTAAAGCAAATCTAATGCAGCAGTTCTGGTATTGGTGTTGCTCTCTGTCAGGAAGGGTAAAAGAAGCTGGACTGCACAATTTTCCTTCATTTTTCTTCTTACTTTGGATGCACTAGGGTGGGATGCAATGCTATTCAGAGCTTGCAAGAGATGATACTGAATAACGGGACTAGACAGGTTCAAAAGTGAGAGCATCTGCTGGGCTACGCCTTGTTTAACCAGAATAGTTGCAGATTGAGCGATCCTTGCAAGTATTGCAGATGCCGGCTCACGGAGAGTCATAAGGACAGATGTCACGGAAAACAGTAGCTGGAGCAGGGGGACTACAATGCCTGAACTGATTAAACGTTGTATATTTTCTGTCAAGTTTGATAGATTTTGTAATGCATTCAAAGCAGCTAACCTGGCTTCAAGTTTTCCAGATTTAAACATCCTTACAAGGGGTTCAACTGCCCCATCTTCGCCAAGGGAGGCTCTGCACTGATCTGTAAGCTCCATCCTTGAAACTGCTGTTGCCATGAGGATCTTGCTCTTATCAGAGCCTATAAAAACACGATGATTGCATTCAGACAACAAGGTTCTTGGATACAACAATTTGGTAGGCATTAAGTTCAGATCTTGATACTATGATATCGATTTTCGATTGAGGATTCACACACCGACTCAAAAAAATCCCAAATGCATGCTTTTCCACTCAAAAGGCACATAAAACAACATGCACAGGACTAAAATATGTAGTTTTTAAGAAATTATTTTTAAAATTTTTTTATATTTATTTATCATTAATAAAGTTGGTTAATAGAAAATACTTTTTAGTCAACAAAAAACACTTTTTAATTAAAAATAAAATCTAACTTGGTTTTCAAGAAAGTATTTTTTTTTTTTGCTGTGTTTGTTTTCTAAAAAATAGTTTATGGGAAATAACTTTTCAAATTTTCTCGTATTTGTTTGCCGTTAGGAAAGTTGATCAAAGAAAAATTTGGCTTGGTTTTTAGGAAAGTGTTTTCCTAAAAAATTTGAACGAAAAACACTTTTCAGAAGTTATGAAAAGTTTAGAAATAATATTATTTGCTAATTATATCAAATTTGATCCTTAAACTTTTAATTGCTATATATATATATATATATTTGTTTTGAATATTTATTTTTAATTTCATCTCTTAAAATTTAATTTTTATATTAACTTTTATCCTTATTTTTATAATTGCTATTTGCTTTTTCCTTATCTTTTTTTATCAAAAATTTTTATCTATTAAATTTGGTTCTTATTTTTTTAATTTTTACTTATTTTATTTGAAATAATTTATGAAATGTTGATTGTTATTATTTTAATTTCTTCATCTTTTATTTTTTTTATTTTTTAGATTTGATCTCTATTATTTTGATTATTATTTATTTTATTTGAAATAATTTATGAAATTATATTTTTTTTCAATTTCATTCTCATTCAACTATTTAATTTATAAGATTTGTTCCTTATTATTTTAATAAACTTAAAAAAATAAAATATTAATAAGTAATTTTTTAGCTTATTTTTCATAACATAACCAAATATTGTAAATTATTTTCTAACTTATTTTTCATTACAATACCAAATATTAAAAAATAATTTTTTTTTTTTGAATTCACTTTTTTAAAATTCACTTTAAAAATAAACTATTTTCTAGCCAACAGGACTACCCATGAAAATTATGCTACAGAACATGCAATACGTAAAAGTAAGCTTTCACATTACCTTCCTTCAGACAATGAACTAGAGGTTTAAAGTAACCAGCCTCAGCCATATGAAGCACATTTTGAGGATTGCTTGACAGTGCAACCAACAGCTTCGCCGCATCTTCTGAAGCTGTCGGATCATCCCCATTAAGCATGGTGACTAACATAACAATACAACCTTGAATTCTTCCAATCCTTCGCCTAACTGCAGAAATATCAGAGAGTTCTGACAACAGTCCTACAGCTTCCCTCCCTTCATCCGCGTCGCGTGCCAAAGATTTCACCAACCCTGACAAACAGACTGCATCCGTCATTTTGTCCTGCAGGCTACCGGACAACGTAAGATAGCTGCAAACTTCAAATCTTACACTTGAAACAAAAATCATAAAGAAAAAAAATCATTTCTCGTATGATTCACCTTGTTTTCATCATTCTCCAAAGCAAGAATTCTCAGTATCTGGATGGTGGTTAACCGGTTGTGAGGCTTGCTCGAGCCAAGTCGATTGAACAGAATTGGAATAATATCTTCGTCATTAATCCACTCCTTTTCAATTACCTGATCCCTAATTAAATCACCTAATACCAAAAGTGCAAGCCTGAATTCTTCATCATTTCCGTACTTGAGATGTCGCACAACTTCATCAATGCTAAGACTAATTTTTTCCTCCTCGATTTCATTAATAAAAGAATCTTGCTCACTAACAAACCCTGATTCTTTGCTCGGTCTAGGACCATGATTTACACAAGGACTGGCACCAGGACTGGGACTTGGACTTGGACTTGGACTTGCAGTAAAACTGGAATCAAACTTCACATTCATCAATTCTTTGTGTAATGCTGCAATACTTTGTTTGACTTCTGTGGATGCATTAATACTTGCAAAGAGAACAAGGCCTAATGATCTCCCAAGTTCTTGAGTAACAAACTCAACCTGCTTGATGGGTGATCTTGAACAAGCTCTTTCAATTAAGTCCTCAGCGCGACTAAGCTCTTTTTCAATGGATCCAACTGCCTTTTGAACTTGTGGACTGTCCATGAGTTTTTCATTATCCTTTATTGATATAAGAATCGGTGTGAACTTGTCAAGCAGAACTGCAAATTCAGCGAATACTTCTCTATCGAATTCCAAGTTCTTAGCAGTTGATACCGCCTCTTCTGTCGAGGCTTGTTGCTCTGATTCAATCTCAGAAATGCTTCTGCTATCAGAATTTTCCATTTTTTCTTGAAATTATAGAAGTAACTAACAAAACAAAATCAGGAAATTTACAGACGTTGAGAGTTCCCTGTGCAAGTATTAAGAATTCAGAGAAAGAAAAGATTAGCAAGAAATCAAAAGAACTGAACAGCAACCGAGCCTGAAAATCAGAAATCAAATCAAGCAGATATCAAAAGCGGAAATACATATATTTACAAGCATCTGTGCTTGTCTACATACTCACACAATATACAGCAAGTCTTGCGTACAAGAACAAGAATTCAACAAGCAAGAATTTCAGAACTCAAAGGTAAAAAAGAAACGAACAAGACTAAGAACCTGAACGAGAAGATATCCATCCATTAAATTCATCTTGACATGGTTTATTACAAGTAATCAGCGTAGACAAAGACTGAGACCTTGTACAGTAGTCTATCTTGGATTCACCTGTTTGTCTACATTTCAGACAACCTCAAGTTTTTTAAGATTCCCAAAAAAAAAAAAAATACATAAGTGAAAGCGTTTCGTGGGTGAGTGGGAAATGGATTTGAGGCTTTCTTGTTTGGAGT